TAGAATCTTCAAGTATACAATTCATTTTTCCCGTTGGCGTTTTCTTTTTTGTAAACCTCTGGGTGTTATTGTTAAGAATATTTAAAGTACGCTTCTTAATTGGTGTAAAAATTATAACTTATGCTGTTACACCAGAAAGTGGCAGCAGTTGCCATCTGTTTCATGTTTTCATGTTCCTGCACGAAATAGTTCAAGCACCCTCTTGAGCACGAATCGATTTCGGTATACTTTGCACTACACACCGCTTCCAATTGATTTATGAGAGACGGAATTTTCGATTTTCATAAAGGCACTTTTAGGTTATTCAGAATCCACATGTTGTTCTTGAAGATGGACATCAACAACTGTTTAGTTAAATATCTGGATTGACACTCTAGGAGACAGGTTAATAGGACCTTTTGTAATGCCTAATCAATTAAATGATCTTGTATATCTACATTTTTTAAAAGAAATGTAACCGCCATTAGTTGAATATGTTCCAGTAAACATCAGGTTTATGGTTAATGTACGATGCTGCTCCTTCCTATTTCTCATTATTGGTTCAGGAGTACTTAAATGACTCTTACGAAAAAGACTGGATTTGATGTTATGGACCTAGATCGCCATACCTGAATATACTGGGTATTTTTATTTAGGAATGTCTTAAAATTTTAGTGTATGCAGAGCCAGTCGAGGACTTGCACGTTCTACGCCAGAGAATATAAGAAGTCCCTGATACTATTAAAATCCAATCTTGGATGTTTGAGGAGGGACTAAATCTATTTTTAAGAAGCTGTAGAGCCTGCATGGATATGCAAGGAAGACAGTTAGAAATCTTTTTTAATAATGCAATAAAAATGTAACCTAAACCCCTCGATTCCGTTTTTCCGTTTCTTTAATGTGTATCTACCACTCTAAATACTATTTTTTTTCATCGCAGTGAGTACAATGCTTAAAAGTGATCGACCGACAATCATGTCCAGTTCCATTCACAGAACATTCCTTTTACCTTTCTATGTAGGAACTAAGCCAAAATTTTAGAAAAATTTCTTGCGATTTTAAAGAAATATGTGTATAAAAAACAATTAACTATTGTATGTTTGTCATTTTTCGGATCCTCTCTTCTTTCTGATTACAATAATATATGTATGCATATCATATATTTACTTTTACAATTAGCACAATATTTTGGTTATTTACTGATCCCGCAGATAGTCAAGGTTGGCATGAAATCACTAATTGCAAGTGGGTATGTTTTCTGCCGTTAAATTTATTAAAAAAAAAATCTTTAAATTCTCTATAAAAAAAAAGATATGAATATTGAAAAAGCCGTTTTATAATCCTTCGATCTATTATAAACAAAATTCCAAATAAGTTTATTTCATAATCCTAAATTCGTCCAATATTTTCTGCTTTGGGTCAAATGAATTATTAGATCTTTCTTTGTTACCTTAACAAACAGGAGATATATTTTAAAGCTCGAATGAATAATGAAAACAACATATTATTGCCAAATTTAAAAAAACCGACAAATAAAACTGAATTTATCCGAGTAGTTTAAACCCAATTTTTGTTTATAAAAGTAAGCCTTAAATTCAATAAGGAATATAAAAAATGCAACAATATACAGGATGTTGGACTCGAAGGAATGAAGTTAGGTACAGTCCGGACGATATTTGTTGAGATGGAATTCCAAGAAGACCCCTGCGTCACTTTCTTGGAATTAACCGCATTCGATAGAGATAGAAAAATATCGGCAGAAAATTTCTCTGCCGCGGTAAATTGTTACAGTAGTTCGGATAACAGAACATTATTGGCATATTCTTTCCTTGGAATTCTATCTCAATAAATAATGAATACACTGTAACAATTAGAAGAGATGGGACACCGTGTATAATCAGAAATAATTTTAAAATTTGTAAATGTAAAGAAATTGATATGATGGAATATTTATTTGAATTTTTTTTGTTACTAATATTCCCAAAGGTATGGAATAATCCGTCTTACGTGGGCACTCTACATAGGAAATGAAAAATAAAGGAGGGTAATCAAAGCAAGACCAATCGCCTTTTTTAAATTCTAAAGTGCCTGTCGTATTGTCAATTTGAACTCTTTGCTTACTAGGTATTAAATTTTGTCAGTTGTAAGGAACTGTCAAAAGTATGCTGTTAAAAATTGACACATCATGTTAAAAAAATCATCTTAGATATTCAGAAATACATAAGTTCGATCGAAGTAATTTACAAATGTCTTTCAGTGCGTTTAATTAAGGTAAGAAGTTTTTGTTAATAAATTGGAGACTAATATTTCTAAAATTATAAGTTTTTAATATTCTTTCTACAGATTTCAATGTTTAAAAATAGTACATTGTGTAACGAGTGAGGAAAAGTTGCCAATTGCGCCACGCGAGCGCAGTTGAATTTTTCAAATAAAATAGCTGATCCAGTTTGTGATCCAAACACAAGTATATTAAGTGTCGCTTCTTTATTTGAACATGATTACGTAAAAACCATGTTTGACCTTTCGCCGTATGTAGAAGATGTGGTATCATATACAGTACGCGTCTAAAGTATGGAATAAATTCAGTAAAAACGAAACAATTTTTTTTGGGGAAAAATCCTCGAACAGGTCGATTTTTAATTTACAAAATACATATTTTAGCATAAAAGGCGATTTTCAACCGTCATTTGTTTTCGAGTAATGACGTCATCGACATTTTTTTTAAATAGCAACCCCCTATTTTTTTTCTTGATTCTGAAAGATCGTTTCATTGTCGATCCGACAGTATTAAAATGTTGCCATCTTACATAGGAAAGTTTTCGAGTAAATGACGATTGAATGTTAGAAAACGTAAATTTTATTCATTAAAAAAATAACAATTCCTATGTCAAGCAAATACAATTCATTAAGTTTTCTACCTAAATTAAGTGTTCGAATTGCCACCCACCGACTTCTTGACAATACGCAAGTCTGTGTAGAAATTCTTCTTGCACATTATGAATTATTTCTGGGGTAACTCTGTGTATTTCATCTATAATACAATTTTGGAGTTCTTCTAAATTATGTGGTCTATTAACGTACACTTTGGACTTTAAGTAGCCCCATAAGAAATAGTCCAGGGGTGTAAGATCTGGGGATCTCGCGGGCCATTCTATCGGTCCTCGTCTGCCGATCCACCTCCTAGGAAAACAATTGTCCAGAAAATCTCGAACAGGGCGCGCATAGTGCGGAGGTGCACCGTCTTGCTGAAACCATATGGTGTCATCAGGAATATCAGGGTCATTATCGTTAGGAAAAATTACTGCAAGCGCTGGAACAAGGTCATTTTGTAAAAACTCTAAATATCTTTCTCCTGTAAGGGTTCCTTCAAAGAAGAAAGGCCCTACTATTCTGTTGTCAACTATTCCAGCCCACACATTTAATTTCTGTGGGTGTTGGGTACGTGTCTCTGCCATCCAATGAGGATTTTCCCGACTCCAATACCTGCAAGTTTGACGGTTCACTGTACCATTTGAGACAAAACGTGGCCTCGTCTGAAAAAACTATTTGCCGGTGTAAATCTCTATTTACTTAACATAAATCCATCAAAATTTCACAAAAGTGTAAGCGGCGGTCGGGATCGTTTTCATTGAGTTCCTGCACAAGTTGAATTTTGTATGGATGATATTTTTCCTGCCTCAGGATACGTAGCACTGTAGTCTGACTAATTTCATTGTTTAATTCAACCAATCGTGAAGTATTATGAGGATTATCTACCATACTTATCAAAATATCTACAACATTGCCAGTTTCTCTAAATTTAGATTCCATCTTACTGACTGTTGATTGGCTGATACGGCGATCTGGATGTTTTTCATTAAATAAATCGCAAACTTCCTGCTGCGTTCTAATAATTTTTATATCGCTTACAATACTTAGAAACAATGACACTTTGTAAAGATTTACACCTACGTGATCCATAAAAAACTTCAGGCATTTCAAAAAACTAAATTTGATAACGTTTTTGCTTTATTTTAATTGATTTGGGTTTTCTAACATTCAATCGTCATTTACTCGAAAACTTTCCTACGTAAGATGGCAACATTTTAATACTGTGGGATCGACAATGAAACGATCTTTCAAAATGTCGATGACGTCATTACTCGAAAACAAATGACAGTTGAAAATCGCCTTTTATGTTAAAAGATCTACTTTTTAAATTAAAAATCGACCTGTTCGAGGATTTTTCCCAAAAAAAATTTGTTTCGTTTTTATTGAATTTATTCCATACTTTAGGCGCGAATTGTATAACGAGCTTTGTAACTTCACAGGTTATAAAAATAATTTCTTGTGACATTTACAAAAATATATATGAAGGGAAACTACTCGTTTCCTTTAACTAGATTAAAAAATTGTGGGCCTTATTTTATTCCTTCTTCTGATAATAAAAATTTGCAGACAGACGGAACAAGTATTCAAACAACGGCAAGGCATCATGAAAACAATTAAAAATTTTAAAGACATAATTATTAATAAAGTCTTTTTAACATTGATGTGTACAACGAATGTTATCATGTTAAATCATATAAAGACTTAAGATATACTAGATAACCACAAAGTTGAACTGATCAAGATACGTGTAAAAACATAACGGTAAGAGTTCACCATGAAACTTCTAAGGTTGTCAATGTATCTATTAGAAGTAAGTTTTCAAAACTAGATACATCTTGTAATAAACACGAAGTCTCATGCATTAGCAAAATGTGGAATTTCTAGCTACTGATTGGACAAGTAAAAATTTGCTTTAACCAATTTCATCAATACATTACCCTTAATTAATAAAAATCCTCAATCAATAAAACCTTAAGTATCCATAGGGTGTAAAGATATACATTTTTACTTATAAACAAATTTTGTCTTCTTTTTTATTTTTTGCTAGATTCATCGCTTCATGCCAGTTTGTTCCTCTTTTCTTTAAGTCTTCTGCCACTACTTGGTCCTAATTAATAGTTGACTGTTGTAAAGTGTAATTGTATATCATCTACGTTTGGTTTGGACCGTTCCGTTTTGTTACGTACTTCTATATTAAATGTGTTTCTGTCTAAAACAGTAGAGACGTCAGAAATAAAAGGGGCGACGTAATAAAAAAATTAAATGTCTGCACTTTTACTACATAACTAATATATAAATTTGAATCAGAGCCAAATGGTATGGTCTCTTGAATATCTAAAAGTATCCAATCGATGTATTAAATGAATAGAATGGAAAGAACACTCGTCAATTCATCTACTGAAACACAGCTTTGTACATATTGTGGAACGACATTATGGATGTGTATAAATATATGTTCAGTGAGTGCAACACTAATTGGTAATAGTTTAACTATTTCGGCGATTTTATTTAGTAAAAAGTTGAATTCCGTAATTTCGAATTATTTTGTGTTCAGTTTAGCAGTGAGTGATTTGCTGGTTGGTGTTTCGATACCATACCATATGTGCTTTTATATTATGGCGGACTTTGGAAAAAGTGAATCTAACTGTTTGTTTCGGTTCGTTTTGACAGCTTTTGCATGTGCAACTTCTATTTGCAACTTATTTTTCATTGCAACCGACCGATACATAGCTATCATATATCCTCTACATTACAGTAGGTTCATGACCAAACGAATTGCTGTCATTTTAATAATAATCGGATGGCTAGCTTCGTTTTCTATTGCTGCCATACCGATAGTTTGGAACGATTGGCGTGAGGGAGTCAAGTGCGATGTGATAAATATACTGCCAAATAATTATTTGAAATTCATACTAACTCCTGTATTTGTATTAATATGGATTATGATGTTTATCCTGTATGCAAGAATATGTAAAGAAGCATCCGGTCACGCGAAAAGAATTCGAGGCTCTTCCAACATACAAAGCTCACTGACCCTAAAGGATACAAAATCATTTCAGGTAAAAATATAACATTATAAAAATAGTTTTATTGATTAAGAGGCAAAGAAAACTTTATGTAAAAAAAAGGTGAGCAGCCGCCACTGAGTAATAGTAATAGTGAATGACTTTTTGCACCGTTACCAATGAGTTTACAGAGACGCTAACAGATACGTAAAAGTAAGGGTTGACGCTTGCCCACAACTTCTGACGTTTTTAGGCCTCAGGATCCAGAGGTAGAGTATATCGCGATCAACGAACTCAGATCTACGCATTTATTATCATTGCTTATTACATTTATTATTGTATTATAACAAGTTAAGCAACAAACTGTGTCTTTTTGAGGCATCTTTTCTTAGATCCATAACGCTGCCCCCTGGCCGCCGAAGACCTAACTTCCCCTAAAACTATGGACAATGTCAACAATTAGACGGATCCTCTTGTCCTTTACATCTAAGGAGACATTAATTACGCGAGCTCAGTTTGGCGGAAGGGTCCGGTAAAATCTCATCAAATCTCATTTAAAGGAAGCGGGGAGTCAATATCACGTTAACTTTTTAATTCAAAGAATATATTATACATTACAGATATAACAAAATCAATATTAAATATTTTTCTACTCGTATGCCCGGATTTATAAATTTAAATATTCTATTACTAATTCTTTATAGTGCACCTTAAACGTAGTATTATTTTCCCCCTCTTATTTCATCAGTAGGCCAATCAATAGAGCATTAAATCAGTTATTTTGTGACAAAAATACTAGTAGCAAACGGACTGTGCCATCATATAAAAAGCAGTCTGTAGATACCTTCGAGCATATACTCCTAGAGGCAGCCTTCAGTGCTCAGAAAGCGCGACTGGTGTGCGACAGAGAAAGAGAATAAAAGGACTTGCTATCTCTCTCGCTCCGCGAACTGATTGGTCGGAGCTTAGGTGCAAGACGGTCATTGGCATGTAGGGGAGCACGCACCGACCAATCCAGCTCGCGGAGCGAGAGAGATAGCATGTCCTTTTATTATCCTTTCTCTCTCGCACACCAGTCGCGCTTTCTCAGCACTGATGGCTGCCTCTAGGAGTATATGCTCGAAGGTAGATACCTATATATGTTTCCTCCAATTTGCCGTTAATTAATAATAAACGCATTTTTTTAGTTTTTTACTTACAAAACCTAAACTAACGAAGCATAGTCCAGGCATTATAGACATGAAACAAATACTGTTAGAAGTTTCTCTGCGGAATATTGTTCGGAAACGTGTTGTAAACAAAATATCAAAAAATCAACTCGAGGCTAGTTGGGAAACTTTGTTTAAGAAATGGAAAAAAATACTGTTAGAAGTTTCTCTGCGGAATATTGTTCGGAAACGTGTTGTAAACAAAATATCAAAAAATCAACTCGTGGATAGTTGGGAAACTTTGTTTAAAAAATGGTCAAAGTTATGAAAAAGTG